ATGGCTGTGGAGGGGAGACACAATAGCACTCAATGCAAGAATTGTTACTCTAAAATTCAAATAGTAAAATCCATTCTGCTTATTCCCCAAACCAATCACCTTTTTCATTCGGAGATCCTGAAAAACATAAGAAGATGGAAAAAAGATTATTGAACAATATAAAAACTTGGTTAATTGACTCACAAATAATAGATTAAAAGAAAATTGAGGGACAAATAACCCAGATGTTAATGAAATGGATTCTGTAGAATGAAGATCACCAGTCCCACGAATACAAAAATTAAAAGAACAAAAATTAGAAAACAATGAGAAAATACCAAAAACATGGGCACTAGCTCCCGAATTAATAATCCAAGATAGTGAAGCGGTGTGTGCTGCTGCTACATGTGCAGAATTATTTGTAGTGGCTAAAACTGGTAGTTGAAGTAAGTGAATGGCAAGAGTGAAGACAACTGCCGGATGAGTTAACTAAATTAGGAGGTAAGATCATTATGAAAAGAAGATGTAGATGTAATAGGTCCACTAGTCGATGGCTGAGAGGCAAGATTCAGATCATCAGAAACCTAATTAGCATAGGCTGATCTTCCATGTTTATCCCAACAATAATCCTCAATATGTCCAATAGCTCCACAATAAGAACATTTCCAATAAGAACAATTGCCTTGACCACCACGACCTCCATGACTAATACCTCAACCACCACGATCACCACCGGAAGCTACATGACAACCACCACAAGCACCTCCATGACCACCACTAGAGAGTAAAGTAGAGGACTCCTGTGCGGGTAAACGAGTCCCACAAGTCAAAGAGGCTCTCTAAAGATGGAAATAAACATTGACAGTAATAGAAAGTTTCTCACTAACTAAAATTTAATCCTTAAACACATCATATTTAGAATTAAGATTGGATAGGAATAGTACAACCTGAAACTCTTCCCATTATTGTCGTTGTACTTCAAGGTCTGCACTCAATGGCTGATAAAGTAGCAGTTTCTCCCATAGCCCTTTCAAAGTACCATAATGCTCAGCCAAACTTACTCCTTTACTTGGTATTAAACATAAGCTCAAAAAGTTCATAGATTCGGGACACATATTCTTGTGAATACATCTCCTCAAGAGAATCTCAAATCTTCTAAGTTGTATCAAAAAGTTGAGCAGTTGAAACTACACCAGACTCTAATCTATGCCATAACCAGGTTATCACTAAAGAATTTTCAATCCACCGGTCTTCAGAATTTTTAACAATCTTAGGAGTACTTTCAGTCAAATACTTTCACTTTCTTTTAGAACACAAAAAACTTTGATGACATAAGACCAAGAATATTAGTTGGTTCCATTTAACTTCACATAAATAATTTTCCTAACCTGATCATTCATGGAATAAACTTGTCGAACCCGATTGCCAACCAACGTATCCTTCACCTCCTCGAAAGTTGCCACTGGACAACCCACAACCAACTAGTAGACAATAAAAGAAAAAAAGAGAACTAGCAAAAAAAAATTCCCAAACAACTATTCGAGATGCTTGAATTACCGTCAGATCAAAAGCCACAAACCATACAGTGAAGGTAAACACACCAAGAGTCCTCAAAATAACTCACATAAGCCAAAACAATAGCAATTCATCACTATTTGTGGCTATTCATCAATGTTCCGGCATCACTACTAGTGCCGACAAGTCTAAGGCATAATCAAACATCACAAATAGCCCAAAACACCCAAGGCTTCAAGGAATACACAACTAGCAGTCAAACGAGGCCAGAACGACCAAAAAAACTTGTTGCGCGCACTATTCTTATGGCTAGAAAAGTTGCCGACTGTCAAAGAGTACAAAAACTCGACACACCAAATCAAAGCACAAAAATGAAACTAAAAGATTTTCACCCTATTAAACAAAGGAAATAATTTTTTCAATAAAATAAATGGAAGATGTCCTAATCTCCAATGTAGTAACAAAATCTGCTCCTCAAAAGTATCACATTTTTTAAAATTAAGAGCTTATGTAATGGTAGCATTGCCTGGCTCATGAAAAATTCAAAAAGTTAAGACCGTTTCTATCCTCACCATTGCCACTCGTCTTCCTTGTGACAATGTCCTGGAAGACACAATATAAAGAAAAGAATGTTACACTACAGTTTAATTTTTTGGTAATGTCACTGACAGAAATAAGATTATTTGAAAGATTAGAAACATGCAAAACAGATGAGAGAGATAAAGATGAAGTGACTGAAATAGAACATTTACCAGCTATAGATGATAGAGAACTATCAGTTATTTTAACCCATTATTTATCTGAACAAGCAGTATATGATGAGAACAAAGTAGATAGTCTAGTCATATGGTCAGAGGCACCTGAATCAATGATCCAGGGACAAGAAAGAATATTACAAGATGCACCCAATGTTGTAGAAAGGTTACCTGTATGAACAAAATAAGTGGATGTAATTGTAGGTGTCTCTAGCTTTAACATAAGGCAACGTATATTCTCCAATTCCTCCTTAAAAAGACCAATTGTTTCTGTTACAGATGATAGAGTAAGACCAGGACCAAGTGAAAAAGTCTCCATTGCAGTCATAAGATGGGCTCAAGATCCTCCTCTACCTCCAAACTAAGGACAACCATTTAATTTCCAACAAATGTCTCTATTATGTCTCAACTAATGGCAATAATCACAATATAGCTTATCTTTATCATTAGATGCAACATCATCTCGAGAAGTAGTAGTGGCCAGGGATGAATTCTCCTACTCTTTTCCAACTGAACATAAACATATGCCTCTCGTAGGGAAGGAAGAGGTTCTTTCCCTAGGATTTGAATCCTAATTTGATCAAACTCAAGATTCAAGCAAACAAGAAACTCAATAATCCTCTCCTATTCAATCAACTTCTGTAGTTTTGAGGCATAAATAGCACACTCAATGTTAAGTCTCTGATAGTGATCCAATTCCAGCGTAGCCCCCGCAAGGTATGAAAATAAGCCGTCAATGAGGAATTCTTCTAATTAATATTGTGAATCCGACATTTCAATTCATAAACCTGTGCCATATTGCCCATCTTTGAGTAGGTTTGTGATAGTGCCTCCCAATTCTCCTTGGCAGTACGTAGAAACAAATAGCCATTGCTAATCTCTAGCAGTATTGAGGGTAGTAGCCAAGACAACCATGGAATTATCAACCTCAAACTTATCATAAAGTGGATAATCAATATTTGGTTCCTTAGTTTTTCAGTCAAGTAACTCATCTTTCCCTCACTTCTAACAAACAACATAGCCAACTGCAACGACCAAGCAAGGTAATTATGTCCATCAAGCTTTATTGTCGTAATCTGTAGGTTGGGATTTTCAGTCTAAAGTCCAGTTTGACTTACAACACTTTTTAGCTATTCCTAAGAAACCGTGTCTAGATTCCGACATGATTTAACTGATTTCTACCTCTTCTTAAAGGTCAAAAACACGCTGAATGGCTCAAAAAAATCAAAAGATAACAAGAAACACAACTACTATCTCAAACTTGCATTTAATCAATCCTGAAAATTACAAAGAACGGGTGAAATCACTGTCAGAGCACAAAACGTACTGCCTTAAGCCAAAAAACTTGCTTGCCGCCCCTCTTGAAGCCATAAAATACCAAAAAAAACACCTGCAAATCATTAGACAACACTTGGGCATTCTAGATCGGCACCCATAGTGTCTATTCCAAGTAACAAATCCCTTAGAAGAAGGCTAAAAATTGCAGATCTGAAAAATAGTCCTATTTTTTTGAAAATCAAAGAAACAATAGAACGAAGCACCAAATACTATCAAAAAATCTAGAAAAAAAAAAACATACATGAACTCTCCTCGTCAAGTCGACCAAAGTACTAATTTTTTTTCCTTTTGCGGACAAACAGAAAAAATTCCAAATAAAACAGATTCTGGCAAATCAAAAAGAAAATTAAAAAAAAAATGGTTTTGTTCCGCGTATAGATAAATTTGAGAATCGCAAAACCCACTCCGATATCATGTTGAATTAATGTAAAGAGAAAGGGAGAAATAGAGAAGAAAGAAAGACAGCTGAAAAAGAGAAGAATGTTATGTTTCTTTTCCCTGTCACTTATATTTATAGTTCAAATATCAAGAAGACAAAAGTACTCTTCACAAGAATCATAACAATAAAGATAAAAATAAGAGACTAAAAAGCTTCTAATAGAATTGTCTCCCTATATTAATTTTTCCTTGGCCAAAGAATTTTTTGGAAATGTGTGCTAGAATGCTAAAAAAAGAGAGAGAGGTTTTTGGAAAGTAAGTCTTTTTCTTTGGAGCCCTCCTGAAGCTATACGGTGTCTCCATAACCACATCAAACATTCATCAGTTCACAAAATGCTCCTTCTTTATTTCCCAAATTATGCAAAGGAAGAAAAATATCATAAAAAAGTATTATCCAATGTGGGTCCACCAACTATTCAGTCCTAAGGGGTGGGTGTAATTTGGGCGGGTCAACCGCAACCCAACACGTGCTTGACCCTAAATATTCAGTATTTGGACAAAGATTTTCAATACTTGATTGGGCTTCAGCAAAAAATCCCAACCCGATCTGAATCCAAACAGATACTGTGCTCCTTTTCTTGGGGAATAAAAAATAGGAAAATAGCATTTTTTTTAAATTTTAATCAGTCAAAACACTGCCTTCCCTCACATTAGGTCGCAGATGATCTTTTTGACAAGATTACTAAATCGACCTTTGTCCATTGAAGCAAAGATGGATACTTTGGGCCTGAAAATCAAACCTTTTAGTCGATCTTTCTTTCTACTATTTGTTGTAGCTAATTAAAAAAAAAAAGTAGGCATGATTATAGAAATCTATGTAGGTCAGACTGACACATCCTACAAGGGTTTTGAAAGCGATCTACGGCTGTGCAATAGGGAAGCACAATGTATTGGAAAGTAACTAGCCATTTTGAATTTTATCTATTCCAATGACCTGCTCAGCTGGATGAAGAACAGATTGCAAACATAAGTTGCTTATACCTCATTAAGCTTTGTGGAAAGCTCATCAAGTAAATTAATTCGACTCTTTGACTTCTCCAAAGCCTCCATAACCTTCTTCTTTTGAAAAAGTAGGTCCCTTGCATCCTTTTCTTTTCCAGTTTGAATACTAATAGCTGCCTGACGTCGAAGCTTTTCTGCTGCTTCAGACAACCGCATCAGCCTTAACCTTGCATTATTTGCTGAAACAATAACTCATATAATCACCATGAAATAAGGAAGCATTGAATTTAATGAGGAAAAAAAATTGCATGTCAATAGCAAGGGGTTGTGAGATACGGTGAAACATGTGCAAGGCTTTCCCATCCTGATGAAATGCAAGAAGTGTTGAATTCCGTTAACACAACACATGTAGATAACAGAAACGGTTGTCAAATTCTTATCAATATGAATCAAGATAATGTGTAAATATTTGGGCATTCCCCTTAAGTGAGGAGACTATTAGTAATCTTTTTCTTCACTGTTTGATTGTTTTGTCGTTGTGGAGAAGATTATTTTTATTGGAGTTATGTTGGGTGTCTGGTTCTAAAGCATAGAACGCATGTGAATTTTTGCGGTTTGGGAAAGAAAGAAAGCCTGTTCCCTTCCCCAATATGTGGTGATGAGAATGATTTGGGTCTTACGGATTGAAAGAATTTACAAGATTTGTTTTAATATTAAATTGGTTTGTGGGTAAGAATTTGTTTTTTGGGTTTTGGTGTCTTCAAACTTCATGAGAATTCAATTGTTCTTGATTAGAGACAGATTAAAAACCGTATGATACTTTTTTATTATTTTCATCTTCATTTTGATGGACTTCTTGTCACTTTTGTAGTGCTTTCTTTCAAGCAACGAAATTATGTTGTAACTAGTAAAAAACAGCTGTACATTATATCTACAGAATCAGTACTAACCAAAGCCAGTGCACCGTAATCAAACCTTTTCCATGTAGCCCACCTAGAGGTGACAATCGAGTCGTGTCATATCAAGTCCATGTTGTACCAATATTAATCGTGCCAAAACTGGGTCACAAGACAAGAAATATTTAACCAATCATGTCTAAATCCTAAACCCTAAAGAAAGTGGACATGAATACTCACGTAAGGCTGTATGTCAGGATCGTTGGTTAAATCTTCATTTGAGCTCAGACTGAGGGTTGAATGGGTCATTTGAAAACTATTTCAAATTCTAGGTCTTCGCCAATTCAGTTTGTAGACCTAACTACTATTTTGCCAACAATCAATAAGAATTAAAATGGAAGATGCAACTACTAATTAATCAATGGAAACTACAATTGATCAAGACAATGTTACGGCAATACATAAGAATCAATTGTAATGCCCTATACCTATGTAAGCATAGGCAATAATCAGCCCAACTAAACAAGCTTATAGGTAAAGTACTCAATGATAATGTATTAAAGACATACAAAAACTCCAACCTTGGAGAAACCACAGGACCTAATTCAAAATTTATGAAATATGGATACTTCATTAAGGTCGACATATCATGTAGAACACGATCCTCGTCAGATACTCGATGATATGTATCCGATATGAATATGTCCCAGACGTGGAAGTGGAATACGAGGGACAAATAGCAATGGTAAGACAAGCCAGGCATAATGCAATCCCGTCTTAGTCAATATGTAGAAACTTTTTGTTTTAACGATGGACAAATAACTCTTTAAACCCCAAAAGATCTTCAAATTCTTAATTCACACCCTAAAAGATGATTTTCACATTACGCACTCAATCATATAAAAAGGTAGCAAAGTAGTCTATTATTCAAAAATGAGTATAAAATTTGCATATAAAAAGTTAGATTATCAAAGTATTAGGATTTGGAGAACAAAGAAGAGAGGTAAGATGGAAGACAAAAGTGTGTTAAGAGTTACACAATTACATCCCAATTTATATATAACTATAAAATACCAATAATATCCTTAAGATAGAAATACAACTTAACATAACATAAAATATTGAAAATTGTGTAATACACAAATATTTGTGAAAAAAAATAGAGAAAAAAAAACAACAAAATTGTCAAACAAAGCAGAAAACATTAGGTTTTGAACCATATTGCTACCTTTTCATAAGATTGAGGGTGCAATTACGGAATTGTAACTTTTCAAGGTGTATGATAGTTATGGAATCGTAACTATCATAATTATAGATTAATTATGATAGTTATTTAGATTTTTTAATATTTATTTTTTAAGTAATTTCTTTAAATTTTTAAGAGTTTAATTGTCATTTTGATTATTTATTTATTTTACAGTTTGTGATCTCCTTATATATATAGGATTTATAAACTCCTTATATATATAGGGGATACATATTTGTTGTGAGATTAGACTTTTGATTATTATTTATTATTGATATTGAATCCTTCTTCCTCAAATTCTATCTCTATTCTCATCCTCTTCTTCTTCTTTTCTGATCTCCTTCTTCTTCCCTTCTCATTCTTAATTCTTCCTTACTACGATCTACATCAATTTAGTATTAGAGCCCAATTTCGATTCGTACAAATCAACAAAAAAAAATTATTGTTTATCACGCGCACTGTTCATCACGACTGTTCACTATTTATCATCATAAACAATGAAAAAAAAAAAAACCAACCAAAACAAAAAAAAAAAAAGAGAGAACTATCGAGCAGATTTAAAAAATTACAACAACATCCCAACTATTTCAGAAATTACAGAAACACCCCACAAAGTTTCAGAAGTTACAAAACCACCCCCAAAAATTTCAAAAATTATAGAATTTTTCCCTCAAAAGTTCTAAAATTGCAAAAACATCCCCAACAGATCAATAAAAACTTCAGAATCATTTCCAAAAAATTTTTGAATTTCCTCTTCATTATGGTATGCATACTCCCATAGAATTTGAGACTATTATTTTTATTCATTGAAAAATTAGAGAATTTATAAAGGGTCCAAAACACATTTTCTTCTATTTAAACTTTCCTCAAATTGTCAATTGCATTCTTAAATTTGTTCTTATACCATTCTCATCTTTCAAGAGTCACTCATGAGTTCCTCTAATGCACATGTTTCAAGAATCTCTCGTCGAGGTCATCATCATAGGAAGTCTAGGGATGTTTACATAGAGTCAACCTATATGACCACACTAGTTAAAGATCCTTCTATATTTAGTGACACTTTAAATCTTTTAGAAGAATAATTTGATTGGCATAGCATGTCGAATTCCCACTGCATCCGTTTTGCTAAATTGATTTTGGAGGGTTCTACTAAGAAGTATTAGCAAACAATTCAAAGAAGTCTAGACCCCTTAGGAGAATCACCTATCATTTGGGCTGAAATGAGATATAAATTAAAAAAGAAATATTTACCTGCTTCCTACATGGATCATGTTTATGACCAATGGCTCAAATCTTAGACAGCATTCTTCTAGTGTCTCTCATTACTTTGCCCAGTTTGATTATCTCATGTATTTGTGTGACATTATTGAAGAACCTTGGACAATTGATCAGTTTATTCTTAGGTTGAGACAAAAAATTAGTAGGGAGTTCAAGCAATACACTTTTGATACGCTAGTTGCAACCTATCAATATGTTCTAAAGGTTGAGAGATTCATAAAAAATTCAACTATAGCTTGATGGGTTATCAATCACAGCCTACTGATAGGACATCTTTCTATTTTAATTCCACCACATATGAGTATTATGATTACTTAAACGATGTCCATATTATTTCTGCATGCTTTCTTAATCTGAATGTGGCAAAAGATTTAAAAATGCTAGCATCAAATAAAGAGAAAAATATTACTCATATTAACTTTCAACTCCCTCATTCAATTTCATCAGATCAGAGTGTTCCTCCTTTGCACCTACAAGAGTTCATATCGAAAGAAAGTGTGTGTGAGTCTTTGTTTGTGTCAATTCTTAAACCATCATTAATCTTAAAAATTGTGAAAAAATCTGTTGAGTCTACACTTATGCAAGATATTAAGTCAATCGAGTCATTTATTGCAGAATCTATTAGCGACTATTATGTGTCTACTTATCTAAGTCATCATGACTTTGTTACAAATTCTTCCCAACCTGAGATTGTTGACATTGTTCTGAATTCTACCCCACTTGAGAGTATTAACTTTGATTCTTTGCCTACTGTCAAGTGTTCAATTAAATCTGTACTTTCTTATTTTCAGCACCCAGGTGTAATAGTTATTCCTTTGTCATTGATGTCTTGTTCTATTGAATGACTTGTGTTGAAACCAAATGAGAATTATTTTGCTATTCTCGAGTTTGGATCTAATACTTATTTGCTTAATTTTTCATTGAATGTTAGTATTAGTCCAGATTTTTATTTGGAGGACATGCTACTTAATCAAGGTACTCCAGAGTCTCCTATTTTGTTATCAGGTGTTTCTACAGGTGGAACTGCTTCTTCCTCAGCATTAACTCCAGTTCTTATATTTTCACTTCTATCACGTATTTCAGGGCAAATAGATGATGTGCTACGTGACTAGATTTACATTGCTACGTATGGAGATTCTTGTATTTATTCTAATCGATGAAAAGATATTGATGGTTCTTTTATTCTAGAGGAGGCATTATACCATCTTCATCCAGCTCTCTTAGGGTACTTCTACTTTGAAGACTCTTCAGGGGAGAATTTTTTTCAACCGGAGGAGAATGATGGAAATAATGTAAAAATTAGATAGATATTATAGATTAATTATGATAGTTATTTAGATACTTCTAATATTTATCTTTTAAGTAATTTCTTTTACTTTTAAAGACTTAGTTGTCATTTTGATTATTTATTTATTTTAGGTTTGTGATCTCCTTATATATATAGGATTTGTGAACTTCTTATATATATAGGGGGATACATATTTGGTGTGAGATTAGACTTTTGATTATTATTTATTATTGATATTGAATCCTTCTTCCTCAAATTCTATCTCTATTCACTTCCTCTTCTTCTTAAACATAAAAATTTTGATATTCAATCAATGATTCGTTTCGGTTTTCATGTACACAAAAACGTTTTGAATGTTTAGGCCATTTCGAAACGAAACTCAGTTCCTGGTCTTCCAGGACCCCAAATGTCTATATGAACAACATTAAAAGGATTAGATTGACGACCTGAATAACTAAGAATAAAGAACTACGGTGATACTTGCCTAGTTGACAAGTCTCACATTCTTACATAAATCAAATCAAGGATAACTTAACACAACTTTTGCAAGGAAAGATAACACAGTAAAAAGTGTCACCGGAGAGGAAACACTGTAGCACTTAAAGCAAGAACAGAACTGCAGGGATCTAAGTAGTAAAGGTCATTAATCTCATGCCCTAAACCAAGCATCTTCTTCGTCTGGAGGTCCTAAAAAATACAAGAAGATAGAGAGAAGGTTACTGAATATCATAAGGACTTAGTTAGCTGACTCATAGATAATAAGTTAAAAGAAAAATTAGGAATAAATAAACCAGAGGTTAATGGCATAGACTTAATATGACAAATATCACCAATTTCATGTACTTGTTGAAAAGAATCATCAGTTAACACAGTAAGTGAGTTAGGCAATCAAAAATTAGAGAATAGGAAAGAAAAATCATATGAGCACTATCAATAACCCGATAGGAGAAAAGGTTAACGAACATTGTATTAAGACTTAGTTAGCTAACTCAAAGATAACAAGTTAAAAGGGAAAATTAGAAACAAATAAACTAGACGTTGATGGCAGAGACTGAATAGGGCAAAGATTCTTAGTCCCATGTACTAGTCGAAAAGAACCATCAGCTAACACAGTAAGAAAAGTTGTCAAAATGTGTATCAAAGCGTATCATTTTTCAAAAACAGTGTATCGCGTCATTTTTCAAAAGTTGTCCATATCTTAAGATATGGACAACTTTACAAAAAGATTTAAAAAATACATATACCTATGGCAAAATGTCACAATAACATTTCATTTTACCCACAAATTTCTCACATAAAACAATTTAAAAAGACTACAAAACCAAAAACAAAAATTAACAATCTATGACTTGAAATTTCTAACATAATTCATCAATATCAAAATTTATATAGTTCTAATTCTAACATCTAAAATAACAGAGGAGCACACTTTAACAATTAAACTATTTGCTCTCGTGATGGAATGAATAAAAAAGAAGGCTTTTTATTTTTTAAAAC